GGCCCGGGTTCGATCCTCAGCACCACATACAAACAAAGATGCTGTGTCCGCTGAGAACTAAAAAATAAATATTAAAAATTCTCTCTCTCTCTCTCCTCTCTCACTCTCTCTTTAAAAAAAAAAAAAAAAAGGGATATAGTAAAAGCATCAAGTTAACCCTGTTATACTAAGATGCTTAGGGCCTCACTAAATTGTTGAGGCCGGCCTTGAACCTGCATTCTCTTGCCTCAACCTCTGGAGTTCCTGGGATTATTAGAGTTGTGGTCACCACCCTGACTGGATGCATTTTCAAAAATGTAAATGAATCAGTCCTATCAAAGCATTCAATGTGTATGCATGCATTTGCTTGCACATGCTTAGACTACAACAGAAAACTGCTTCCTCTGAGGGAAACTGGGAGTGGTGGTGTTGGGGGAACAGGATATTTTCGTAGCACACATTCTGGTTTCTTTAAAAAAAATACTGCATGGATTTGGTGTAGTGGCACATGCCTGTAATCCAGACAACTTGGGAGGCTGAGGCAAGAGGATCACAAGTTCAAAGTCAAATTCAGCAATTTATGGAGGATCTAAGCAATTTAGGGGGACCCCACCCATCTCAAAATAAAAAAATAAAAAAGGCTGGGGATGTGGCTCAGTGGTTAAGAGTCCCTGTGTTCAATTACTGGTAGGAAAAAAAGAAAAGAAAAATACTGCATGAAAATGTATTACCTATTTAAAACTTATCCATAAGCAGGGCATAGTGGCAGTGGTGCATGCCTGTAATCCTAGTAACTCAGGAGACTGAGGCAGGAGGATAGCAAATTTGAGGCCAGTCTCTGGAATTTAGTAAGATCCTGACTCAAAAACCAAAAAGGGCTGGGAATGTAGCTCAATAGCAGAGCTGCCTGGATTCAATCCTTAGTAAAATAGGAAGAGAGAGAGAAAAAAAGAGAGAGGAGAGAGAGAGAGAGAGAGAGAGAAGAAAAAAAGAAAGAAAAATACATATCTGTAAATATGAAATAAATAAAGATCCTGTTCTCAGGATGAGGGGTAGAGGCCTTCTACAGTGGTCATTAGTTTATTCAAGTAAATGTTACAAATTCAGTGATTCCTTAGCTTGCTCCCATCTGCCCACTTTTCCAATTATGTCTTGATTGTTAATGCAGTCTTGAAAATATTATCAGTGTTCTTTTATATTTAATATAATTTTCTCCAGTTGTTTTTTTTTTTTTTTTAAGATTTTATTTATTTACTTGTTTTTTTAGTTCTCAGCAGACACAACATCTTTGTTTGTATGTGGTGCTGAGGATCGAACCCGGGCCGCACGCATGCCAGACGGGSGCGCTACCGCTTGAGCCATATCCCCAGCCCCCTAGTTTTCTCCAGTTGTAATCGAGGCTCTTCTTCCACCCCAATATTGCCAGAACTGATAGGATCATCTGTGAACAGCATGGGTCAGAATTGCTCTTTTGCCACCAATTTACTGCATGACCTTGGATAAGATATTGGTACCAGCTTTCTTTGTCTTAATTTCTTCACTTATAACATGAATGTGAACCATTCTTAGAGCCCTTCTAGTAATGAAATCCTTATTCCCTGAGAATTCCTTCCTCCTAGTCTCTCCACTTTCCCCTGAGGATTGAACCCAGGAGCACTCTACCCTGAACTGCATCCCCATCCCTTTTATATTTTTTGAGACAGGGTCTTAGTAGTTGTTCAGGCMGACCTGGACCAAGTGGCTGGAATCACAGGAATAAACTACCACACCTGGCTTCAGGAATATCAATTTACTTCCTTAGGCCTTGTAGCTATTAAATAGAAGAACTAGAAGGCTTCAAATGAATCTTTTTCCTAAGGCAACTTTACATTCAAAATACATACAGATTAGTCTTTTGAAAGCAGTGGATTATTCTCTAAACATTTTGAGGTCTTTATTCCCCCTCGGCAGGTCATTCTAAAACCATAAAGCACTAACTTAAACTAGTGTGTATTAGAGATTAGAGGAAGACAGAAGAGGGTTAGGAGGCTTCTAGACAGATACCTGGGAAAGCACTTCCCTACACAGGATGAACTCTTAGGGTTCATGATTTATTTCCCCAGGGACCAATCTGAACCAATCATCAACAATGAAACATAAAAAATCAAGYTCAATTTTCTAAAAAAATTAAAATTATTATTATACTTAGTATTCAAGTATATAATTTATGAAAACCAATATTAAAGAAACATCCACCCAGTGTCCTAGTTACTTTATGTTTAAATTATTATTATTTTTTGGTACTGAGGATTGAAACCAGGGGTGCTTAACCACTGAGTCACATCCCTAGCCCTTTTTATATTTTATTTTGAGACACGGTTTCGCTAAATTGCTGAGACTGGCTTTGAACTTGTGATCCTCCTGCCTCAGCCTCAGGAGTGCCTAGCTGTCCTGGTTACTTTAACAAATCAAATAATTTACTTTCCTGTGATCTCTGCCAGCTCTTGTCTTTATACTTGTCTTTATACATGTATGATTCCCACCCCCCCCCCACTGTTGGTACTCATAAAATAAATGCATATTTTAAGTATCAGAAATTCAAACTTTAATAAGAGAAAATGCTAATTTTTATAACTATCTTTTAATTATTTTCCTAATCCTGAGTTTTTTTTAAAAATTTACTTATTGTAAAATATACCATTTTCATCAGAAGTACAAAAAGTACACAAGTACAAAAAGTACAAAAGTATAAGAGTTTTTTTTTAAGGAATTATTATTATTTTTTTCAAATATCATACATAAAGGAATGTCATAATTTTTAAATGCTCTACCAGGACTCCTGAAACCAAACTCCAAGAAAGGGTATGTCTGGAGATCTTTTCAAAATCCGAATTCTTTTGGGTAGTGGAGGGAGAGCTCTGTCTGGAGGCAGGAAACTGAAATGATGATCTATATTCTTCCAGTTTTACATTTCTTGACTTTATTGACAACTTCTGGTAGATAAAGGTTGCCTCATATGCACTGAGCAAGAAGTGTATATCATTACTTTATGAATCATTTTTCATTCCTACAGTAGTAGAGATGGAATCCAGAGGCACTTTACCACTGAGCTTTACTAGCCCTTTTTATTTTGAGACAGGGTCTTACAAAATTACTATCCTGGCCTTGAACTTGCTATCCTCCAGCTTCAACCTCCTGAGTCACTGGGATTACAGTCACATACCATCATGCCCAGCTACTTTGAATCTTCATAAAGTTGGGATTTCAGTTTGATTATTAGAAGGGACTTAGCTGGGTATTGGGAAGGCCTGTTTTCCTGGTTATTGATATGCCATGGTCTTTATATCTTTTGTTCAGTGATGACTGAAGCCATTGTCACCGTAGAAAATGATGGTGACCTGAATGAAATATTTTTAAGTGGGCTGTGGAAATCCGACTTGGGATTGTCTYCTCAATGTCAAGACCTTGTGTGTGTGTGTGCACTGTTGTATTTGGATGGCACACATTATTTCAGTTCCCTTTAATTTAAATGACAAATAGGTAAGAAACTAAGTTGTAATTTGATGACTTAATATTTCTAAAAATCAATTTTGTTAAAATGCTAAATAAGGAACAACTCAGCAGAATTGCTGTGATTATTCTAAAAATATTATTCGAATAGCATTTTTACTACGGCAAAAGGTTAAAAAGAAAAAAAAAAAACCCCATATAACTTTCCATCCGATTTCTAAAAAAATCAAACTTTACATCTAATGTCAATGGACACTAAAAATCCTAAAACCCGTCTAACTCAGTGGTATATTGTGTATTCCCAGTGACTCTCACATTTGCAAACCCCGACTCACGTTGGTTTCTACCTGTCACGAAATCCTCTCTATCACTTTTATAAAACCACATCACTTTCTGTAAAAAGTGAATGGAAGACTCTAATATTGTAAAATTGCACGTGCCTCGTGCCCTGAACAGAAAACTCCAAGCTTGGGATTTTCTCACAGGCGTGACCTCTGCTCCAGGCAGGTAAATTGCTAGAGGGAGAAGCAAGTGTCAGCCCAAAGGAAACCCTGTTGAGGGATCTTTTTTTTTTTTTTTTTCCCCTCTCTTTAAACTGATCACTTTTTTTAGGAGGAGTTCCCGCTGAATTTTCTAGTCCAAAGTCCTTGCCACCAGATGACCATCTTTTTCACTAATTTGCCACTCCCGCCCCCCCCTCTTTCCAGAAGCCTTCATTGGAAAGAACTTCCTCTCTCTATTCCATCTAGTTTCAATCGCCCCCGGTCTCTCACCCGCTTCCCCGGTCGCGCCCAGAATCCAGGTCCCCCCGAACCACTTGAGAAAAAAATTCACACCCCTCGCCCCCTTCTCGGGCGTCTGGAGGCGGCGCTGGGGTCGGGGTGTGGGTGGGGAAGGCGACAGGGTTTTCCGGGGTCCCCGGTGTCCTCCTCGCGCCACCCCCACCCCCGAGGTGTTGCAGGGGGAGGGGAGCGCGGGTGGGTGGGACCGGGCCGGGTGGGGGAGGGGTGAGGGCGAGGAGGAGGAGGTGGAGGAGGAGGAGGAGGAGGAGTGGTGTGTGTGCGAGCGTGTGTGGCTGGGGGAAGCCATTGCCTGTTTAATAGTTGCTGTTGCTGCACTTCCGCTTCTCTCCCAGCGAGAGAGAGACACGAGTGGCCAGGCCCAGCCGCAGCCGCAGCAGCAGCCGCGGCGGCGGCACGGAGGAGCCAGACACAAAGAGAGGTACGGGGATCCCCCCCGCCGCCCGCCGCCCCCCGGCCGCGCCGCCGGGCCTCGGGGACACCCCTCGCCGCCTCCCGGACCCGCGCCGCCCGGGCCGCCAGGCACGGGGCCGAGGTGGTGGTGGAGAGGGGCCGGGGAGCCCCAGGGGTCCGGGGCCCGCCCGCGGGGGATGGGCAGGGACCCCCGGCCGCGTGGGGTGCGGGGGCCGCCCGCGTCGGGGCCGGGTGGGGGGGCATGGTGGCTCGAACTGTCAGCGCTGCCCGGGAGCCCCCCACTGGCCGCCGAGGGGGCCGGGAGCGGGGGAGGGGGAGTTGGGGGAGCCCCGCTTTCCTCCCGGGCGGGGGCCGCGGGGATTAACCCCTCCCGGGCCGACGGGCTCATTGTTATTCCGCTACTGCGGAGGCCGAGCCCCCCGCTTCCCCCACCCCTCCGCGGGGGGCGATCGGGCGTGTGCTCGGGACCCCCGCCCCGACCGCGCAGTCCGGAGCTGGGCCGCCCTGGGGCAGGCCGGCGGGAGGGGCGTCGGGGCGCGGCGCGGGGCCTCGGGCCTCGTCGCCCCTGCCCCCCCCCCCCGGCGGCCTCTCCCTTCCCCCACCGGGCACCCGCTCCCCGCCTCCGTCCCCCCGTTTCGGCTTCCTCTCTTACTCCTTCCCGCCNCCCCCCCCCGGCGGCCTCTCCCTTCCCCCACCGGGCACCCGCTCCCCGCCTCCGTCCCCCCGTTTCGGCTTCCTCTCTTACTCCTTCCCGCCCCTCCTCGCTTCCCGACCTCGCCAAACTCCGCTCGTGGCCCCCGCAGTCTCGCCCGGGCCACCGGCCCCCCGCGACCCCCGGAAAGCGGACAAAAACAGCCCCAAGGCCGGCCGGCCGCCGGGACCTTCCCTCCTGTCCCCACCGAGGCACCCCGCGCCCCTGTCCTCCTCCACCACCTCGGCTTTCCCTCCCAGCCTGGTGGGGAGCCCCGGGGGGCGAGGGAGGGGCTGCTTGCAGGGCTCCAGACCGTTTTCCCACCGTGTCCTTCACTTGGGGCCAAAAATAAACAAGCCACGACCGATTTGCAAAAGCTTTAATGGGCCTGGAGACTTTGAAAAGCGGGTGGTGGGCGGCYGGGTGCAGCCAGGGTCTGTGCCCTCCTGACAGCACCCGAGTTCCTTATTTACACCGCCTGCATGGTTTGTGTGTTTCTGTTTTGTTTCCCTCCCCCTGCAGGGGCCGTTTGCGGGGTGGGGTGGGGGGTTCGCTATGTCGGATGACGATTCGAGGGCCAGCACCAGCTCCTCCTCATCTTCGTCCTCCAACCAGCAAACCGAGAAAGAAACAAACACCCCCAAGAAGAAGGAGAGTAAAGTCAGCATGAGCAAAAACTCCAAGCTCCTTTCCACCAGCGCCAAGAGGTACGGTATCCCCTCCCCACCCCCCCACAGGCTTCCTGTCTTCCGAACTGCCTCGTACTGCATTTGATCTGCCTCCCAGTGAAGGTAGCTTAAGTGCTCCTCATAGTTTATGTGTTCTCAAAAATGAAAACGGGGCCATGGAAGCCCTAATTATTTTCTCTGTTGCCTCTTCTGTTTTACTTTTAATCATTGTCCACATGCAGCTGTTGTGGCTTGCTGCTTGAGTTTCTTGCTGAAGTTTGTAAGAGTCCGCGTTACTTTTGTTAGTGACCCTCAAATTTGATTTCGGGTCACTGATTTGTTACCCTCTCCAAGGCTGTCATCCCACTTCTTAATTACTAACACATTCCCAGACAAGTCTTGTCTAAATGAATTCTATGACCATCTTACTTCCTCGTCACCTGTTGCAGGGATGATCTTTTTTGCATAGTGCTTTCTCCACAAATTGCAAAAGGAATAAGTAGCTCACATGAGCAGGCAAAAAATTTAGTAGGTGATGTTTTCTGATGGAATTTTAAGAGATTTTTCCGACTTGGGGAGTTGASGCACATGAATCAACCAGTAAATGATTGTAAAATGGTTGTTCCTTGTTGTTTTTGTGACTCTTTTCTAAGAATTTCTACTTGCCAAATTTCAGGGAGACTTTTCCTCCTAGTGCCATTGGCTCTCATGCTGTAAAACTGAAATTTTCACCCCTTCCCTTTTTTTCAGTTGAATTCAAGTAGTGGCTTTTTTTATTCCTTTCCTCTTCTCTTGGGGGTAGTGGTAGCTACTTTTTTACCACCATCATCCTTAAGTAACATCTTCTCATGCCCATGACCCTTAAAATAATGTATAGCAGATTTCTAGGAACCCCCAGACACCCTTTCATAAATCCTGTTCTCAGTTAAATAGTTGTTAAACCTTAAARTGGCAAGCTGTGAAGACCGTAAGGAATCCAAATGCTGGGTTAGATAGGATTCCATTCTTAAAGGGATTTTTCAGAAGAGTTGTGAGCCTGAGAGTTTGAGTTCTGTCATTTCCCCTGACTTGAAGTTTTGGAAAATTTAGTAAACTGTTTTGGTGACCTAGTTGTGGGCCAATGTAGTGACTTTAGCTTATTTTAAACAGTGTGAAGTTCTTGGGTGAAATGGCATGACTTGGAAGATTGCTGTCATTTTCAGGAGGTTAATTTGATTATGTTTCATCTTCCCAGGAGTCCTAACTGGCCCTTTTTGATGAGCTCTGAGTGGGTTCTCCGGGAATCTGGCATCTACCCTATCCACTCTGGCTGGGTCCTTTTCTTAACAATTACCCCTCCCCCAAACCTCTAAGCTCCCTATCCTCAGGCTGCTTTTGGCCTGACCTGCCCCATTGTAGGATATCTGCTTTGGGTCATTAGTATTTTTTTTTTCTATATTTTGCTGGGTATCCCTGGTGTACATGAATACATTTGGGGGTAAAGGCATAGGCACCAAATAAAATATAGTGACCTTTTTGTTAGCATTCACAAAGAGGAGGATTTTCCCCTAGACTCAATTTGCTCATTTAGGCAAAGGAGGTTAAAAAATTATTTGGAATGGCTGGGAAAGAGATGAGAAGCTTCAAATAGTGATCKTACCTATAAGTTAACATCAGTTTTGTTTTTATGCAGTGAATTTAGTTGCCTGGAGAACTTGCTGAAAGAGTGACTATTTGTGTTAAAGCAGAGCTAACTAAGGTTAATATCAAAAGGCAAAAGGTGGAGAGGGACAGTATATCCAGGAAAGAGTAAAAGAGGAAAATTGATGTTAGTGGGATCCTATAGATGGTGCTTTGTGAAATATATTGATTTGGAAGATAGTTATTGGCCATAGAATTGGAAGAGACAAATTTACCAAGAGATGGTGTGAAAACAAGACTGAATTGGCAGACTTAACCGGTTACTCATTGCACATTGGAAAGTGGTTTCTAAACTATGGGGGGGGGGGGKGGCAGGGAGAGGAAAGCCCCTATGGAGAGTGTTCTGAACAAGATTCACTCCCTGGGACATATGCATGTATTCCTCTTGCAAATCTTTGGCCAGCACTCTGGAAATGGTGCAAATGCTGGCTGTCAAGATGAAGTGCATAAAGCTGTCTGGTAATACACTTTTTAGGTATTAAGGAAGTGATTACCTTATTTGACCTGAGGGAGAGGACATTTTTTCATACCTAGGTCTTAAAAATGCAGTCAGTTCAGCTGGCTGCGGTGATGCATGCCTGTAATCCCAGCAACTAGGGAGGTTGAGGCAGAATTGCAAATTCCAGGCAATTTAGAGAGATCCTGTYTTAAAATAAAAATTAAAAAGGGGGTTATAGCTCAGCGGTAAAGCCCCCTTGGGTTCAATCCCCAGTACTGCAAAACAAACAAAAAACCAATTACAGCCAATTTTAAAAGCTGCAAGTAGGGAATCAGGAAGCCAGGATTTGGAACTCTTAAATCTAACATCCAATGAGTTAAACAACAGGGATGCCACTGTCTTTGAATTGAAATGCTTATTGGTAGCAGGGGAATTTAGCAGGACACTGGTAAATAGATGACAGTAGAGACTGAAAAAACCCCTTTCTTAAACTGACCAGATTTGTAGGGGGCAGGAAATATCCTTCAATAGTAAAGTTGAATGAACTTCCCCAGTCGTCGCCCTTATTATTATTATTATTTTTTACTTTAACGTGGAAGAAATAGCGCCTTTTAAAACCTCATGCATATAGCTGGCCTCTTCCTACCCTCCGAAAACCTTTGGAAAGAGAAAAGCATCATTGTCATTCAAATTGCCTAGCGTGTATGTTTGTTCTTGTTTTTACTACCATCCTGCCATGGTGAGATTTTTTAAGTTGTAACACAGCCCCGAGGGCTTTATATGATAGGAGAAAAGATTATAAAAAAATAGGCGGCGTTTAGAAGTGGCAGAGGCTCTTAGGCCCCAAGTTTGTCCTAATCGTGGATGCTCTGAGCGCCTAGGTAAGCAGAAGACAAAGGCCAGGGCTTGGTGTGAACTGCCTGGTGGCTTCGGCCTAGGAGTGGGGGATGGGACCCTTTGTGAAGTCGAGGGTTGGTGCCTGGGCAGAAAACTGGGGTCCGGGGTCCGCGTCCACAGGGAAGGAAAGGGCAGGCCTTCCAAGAAGTTAGGACGTCAGGAAAAGGCAGGTCTGGAGAGGTGGGCTGAGCGAGCGTGCGGAGGCCGGCGCGGGTGCACCTGTGCGGCCCGGGCGGGTGCTGCGGGCCGACGCGTGGCGTCGGGGCCGAGGTTCCGGGCGGCGCTGAGCACCMGGAGCGTCCTCCGCGCGGGCACCCCATCCCCTCCGGCTGGCAACTTCACCCGCGCAGCGCGAGCCGTCTGTCCGCATGGAGGGGTGGGAGGGACCGGCCGCGGGGGCGGCTGCCGAGCGGCCAGCCCCGAGGGTGCGCGACGCCTGGCAGGTCAGTCAGGGCCCGAGGGGCCTCGCGGGGAGCCGCCATGTTGGCTTCGTCACCGAGGACTCGGGCCGGTGCCGGGCGGGTCCTGGGATCCTCGGCCTGCTGGGGGCGCCCTGCCGGGCCGGGCCGGACGTGAGGGCGTCGGGCCAGGCTAGGGCTGGACCGGCGCGTTCCCGGGGCGGGGAGGCCAGAGGGTCGCGACCTTCCCACCCACGGAGGCTGTGATCTCTGTCCTAGGGGAGAGGGGGAGCGGGGGAAGGAGGAATCAGGGAACTGCTCCGCAAGTGGGGCTGTTTGTTTTTGCGGTTCGGGGAATTGAATGCTGGACCTTGTGCCTCCTAGGCGAGCACTCTGATCACGAAGGGTGCAGCCCGCCTCATATTTTTTTCTTTTCCCTTTTTAAATTTTGAGACCTCAGTCTCGCCTTGTTGCCCCGGTTGGCCTCGAACTTGCCATCCTCCTGCMTCGGACTTCTTAGCCCGGCTCGCAAGTGGGAATCTTTAAAATGATTCCCAAAGGGAAAACTGCAAATGTGGGAGGCGAAGTTGGAACCCACACATTGTAGATGATGGCAGGAGACCTCAGATTTCCGCTTCACTGCTTCTGGGGGGAAAAATTTTTTCCTAAATTACAGATCTGCCCTCCACCCCACCCCCACCCCCACCCCTCATTGAACCCCGTGCCTCACGCATCTGTGCAGGTGCTCTATCACTTACCTACATTCCCAGTCCCAGACCTGAGTTTTTGATGTGTCTTTTCCTCATTCCCCAGTGGAATCCAATTATCRCGGCTAGGTCTGTCTGCCAGACCTGTAGTTACAGGTGGGAGGCTTGCAAGGCCTTAATGCGTCTTGTGTTTCTCTTTCTCATTTCCCTGACTCCAGGATTCAGAAGGAACTGGCAGACATCACTTTAGACCCTCCACCTAACTGCAGGTGAGCTGCCTTTCAGATTATTTTCTTTTTAAAATTCTTCTAATATCTGTCTTGGATTTTTCTTTGTAATATTGTAGATTTTTGCTTTATTTTGGTTAATTCCTTGTTTTGGCGCTAGCATCAAGTATGCTGAAATGTATTAACCAGAGTGTAATGTCTTTGATGAAACTTTTGACTATCTCAGTACTTTGTAGAAGCCAAGTAATGGATTTATTTGTAGTAGACACTTTTACATACATGAAACAAAACTGCAAGGTAAATTTAAAGGTGTATCTTTCTTTGCCTAAGGGATTTTTATATGTTATTTAAAGATGATGCAAAACACTTCAGTTGCTGAGGTACATTTTGGTTTAGAAAACTTGCRTTGCTACAGTAATCTCTTATTCAAGGCTATGAAGCCAATATAAAGTATAGAGTTAMGACACTGGATCTTCAAACTTATTTTGTGTTGAACTTTTGGCAGAACACCTCAGGAAATAATTTGTGGCTTTGATAAAAGGATTTTGTTTGTAATTATAGATTTAAATTCCTGCAAGGTGGTGTTTTCCCTTGATAATGTTCGTTCAGTTCATATATATGTGTGTGTGTGTTGTGTGTGTGTTTCAGTTTCAAAACAATTTGAAACCAGTTTTCAAAGGGTGTGTTGGTCACTTAACTTAGAATAGCCATTTGCTACTGTTGAGTCAAGGTGCAAGGAAAGACTTAGAACTCTGTAATAGGACTGTGTATTTCATGCAGAATCATTCTTAGATCCTATAACTCCTGTAGTTCAAAAATGAAGTATAGTGGTGGAATGTTATAGACATCATCATCCAAAGTACATGTATGAAGACACAAATTGGTGTCAACATATTTTATATATAATCAGAGATGTGAAAAGTTCTGCTGTATACATAAGATTTGTAATGCATTCTGCTGTCATTTTTTTTTAATCAATTAAAAAAAAGAATAGGAAAAAATAATGAAGTATAGCATTTACCATGTTCCCAGTTCTTGGGATTAGCAATGGAATGGGATGTCAGATTTCATTAATGTTCTAACTTGGAGGTAGGAGTACAAGTTACTGACAAAATATTCATTGGCCATATGCAGAATTTAAGATGAATATGTGGGAGTATTCAGGTTGAAAACTAAATGCAGGACTCAGTGGTAGAGCGCTCGCCTAGCATTCGTGAGGCATTGGGTACCATCCTCAGCACCACATAAAAATAAAGTAATAGGTGGGCACAATATCTTTATTTTATAACTAAGAAAAAAAAAAGAAAACTAAATGCACTATTTTGCTTATTAACATTGAACTTTCTAAACTGTGATTACTGGATTAAATGCAAACTTTAGTATTTCTATTTTATAGGATACTTTTTCCCCTACCTGAACTGGGTTTGAGCCCAGGCACTTGACCACTGAGCTATATTTCCCAACCTCCTTTTTAAAATTTGAAACAAGGTCTCACCAAGTTGCCCCAACTGGCCTCCAGTTTGTGATCCCCTTGCCTAGCCTATGGAGTATCTTGGGTTATTGGCATGCACCATCATATACACAATTTGGATGCATTTTTTCTTAATGTTGACCAGGTGTGAGATGCTTATTGAATTTTTGTCCTGTTCCGTGAGAAAAGTCATTTTTAGTTTGAAATGCTCAGTTCAAAACTGAATCACTTTGTTCTTGAGTATTTCTTTTATGGCCAATAAGAATCTTTTCAGGGGGCTGGGGATAAAGCTCCGTTGGCAAAGTGCATGCCTCCCATGCACAGGGCCCTGGGTTCAATCCCTAGCACTACACACACACAAAAAAAAAAAAAAAAAAAAAAAAATCTTTTCAATATGTTGAGAAACTGGAGATAGAGAAACTGGTGTTCAAATAGAAGTACACTGCTTCCTGTGATTGATTGTGTGGAGTCTGTGGACATTCCTCTGGTAGATCTGTATTTTGTAGTTATTGCTCCTGTTTTATATCATGTCTCATGTTGACACAGCTCAAGCTGATGGAATTATAAAGTTTTAAAAGCATAGTTTCAAAACTAGTATTAGAACATGTAATGGCTTTCTTATTCATAAGTGCCGACGAATTTTAAATTATAAACAATTTGAAGATTTTGATGGTAGGAATCATTTTAAAAATAGGATAAGTACATTTCAGTTTTGCATTATTTCAGTTGAGTTCATGTATGAGAGATTTATGTTTCTGTGGCATGTAGAACTTTTTATCTTTGGAATATCCACCTAATTAAGGTGAAACTGGGCATTACCTGTGCTGATGTCTGGAGAAGCTGTAAGCTGCATGGCTGTTGGTTGATTGATAATGGGCAGACAAATCTCAGTGCACTTAAAGATTTGGAGAAAAATATGTAAATTCAGAGAAAATACCAGTCATCTTTATTTTGCAAGAGAATGTCTATTATGTTGTCCTTTTCAAATAGTGACTGCTTTATTTTCTCAAGACATCTTTCAGTGGGATCTTTTAAGTAATATGAATTAAAATTTTAAGTAATATGAATTAAAATTTCTACTTTTAAGCCAAGTTCAGTGGCTCATGGCTGTAATCCCAATGATTTGAGAGGCTGAGGCAGGAAAATTGCAAGTTGAAAGCCAGCTGGGGCAATTTAGCAAGACCCTGTTTCAAAATAACTAAGAAATTCTGGGGATGCAGTTTAGTGGTAGAATATCCCTGGATTCAGAAACCTGTACCCCATCCCCCAGTTTGTTTTTTAACTTTCAGTTGCCTTTACTAGTGTTATGGTTTTAATGTTAGTAGTCCCGATATTCAGGTCTCTTACGTGTGTTTGGTTTTATGCTTTGTTCTTGTATCTTAGAGGATGCAATTGTTTAATGTGGAGATGAAAAGGAATGATTCAGTTTGGGGATAATTTTTGAAGTTAGCTTCCAGTTAAAATGTATGAATTTAATTATTTTAAATGCACGCATTTTAAAAAGTATTTTTTCCCAAAGCAACCCTCAGCATGAAAGCTAAATAGTTTGGTTCCTATTGAATTGTGATTTCGTCAACTATAAATTATATTTTGAAAGAGCTAAATACCTGGCTTTCAATTAATGTATCTCAGATACATTTTAACCTTTTCCAGAACTTACTTCCTTCAGTGGGTATTCAGTGTCTTTCAACTTACTGTGCATTTGGAAAGGCTTTTTTCTCTATCGTTTGGCTCAGTTCTTTTAGGAAAAAAATATTGTCTTGACTGCTGTAATGACTCCCTATCGCTTGTCCTATCTTGGATTGTAAAATTATGCCTTTTAAATAGCTGGTGAACTCTGGGCCACTAGAGTCAGTTTTGCAGCTGTTATTTATAGCCCACAGCTGAAACTTTGCTAAATTGACTAGTTACAGCTGTATAACTAGCCCTTAGACTTAAACGTAGATGGTATGTCCACCCATCGTGATCGGCATATTTTGTCTAAGTCCTTTAAACTTCAGATTTTTTTTAACGGGCACATTTATATTGTGAACAACCTTCTCATATAGTGACTTGAAACCTAAAAACTGAGATTTTGGTTGGGTGCTATTTTAAGATAAACTGTCTTTGAGAAATGATTAAACATTTCAGTCATGGGGAGAAAATAATAAACATAAATTTCCTTTTATTTAATTCATTATATTTTGACCAGTAGTTTTCTTTTTCCTGAACTCAGTGCTTTTTGTTTTTCTTGGATAACTGTATTATGTAATTACATAAATTTGGTTTTAAAGTTTTACAACTAAATCATATCTACTATGTGTGTGTGTGTGTGTGTGTGTGTGTGTGTGTGTGTGTATTGGGGATTGAACCATGGGGTGCTCTATCTGAGCTACATTTTTAAATTCTGAGACAGGGTCTCATTAAGTTGCCAAGGCTGTCCTTGAATTTGTAATCTTCCTGTTTTCCCCTCCTGAGTAGTTGGGATTATGAGCATACACTGCCTGTGTTCAGCTGTAAATCATATGATTTAAAGGTGAAAGAGAAGAACATCTTAAAAAAAATCAGTGCATTTGTCTAAAAAGCTACTAAATTTTCTCAGCCTCTTTTTCCTCATCTATTAGAACGGTCTAAAATACTTGGCTTGCCGGGCTTATAAATGTTCAATTGCTGTAAAGTTCAATTGAGATTGATGTTTTCTGTATGTGATATGGTGATATTAGAATTGCCTGTTGAGCATTTATTGCGGTGGGGGTACCAGGGATCGAACTTGGAGGCACTCAACCACTGATCCACATCCCCATCCMTATTTTGTATTTTATTTAGAGACAGGGTCTCACTGAGTTGCTTAGTTGGCCTCATTATATTGCTGAAGATGGCTTTTAACTCAGAATCCTCCTGCCTCAGCTTCCTGAGCCGCCGGGATTATAGATATGCACCACGAATCCCAGCTAGCCTCTTTTTGATAGTTCATCTTTTTAGCTAACATTGCCTTTTTTATCATAAAATTTATTCAATATGTATTGTAAATACATTTAATTTAAAACCATTACACAGGGGCTGGGGATGTGGCTCAAGTGGTAGCGCKCTCGCCTGGCATGCGTGCAGCCTGGGTTCGATCCTCAGCACCACATACAAACAAAGATGTTGTGTCCGCCGAAAACAAAACTAAAAAAAAAAAAATTACACAATCGTATAAGAACGTGTATTTTTGAAAAATTCAAATGTGCAAGTTTATTTATTAAATAGTGAAAGATCTCCATGACATCTTCTGTTCTGCTCTTTGCAGAGATGCTTCAGATTTGCACTTTGTGCATAGTTTTCCACATAGTTTATTTGAATTTATATACTTGTACTTTTCTCATTTAACAAAATCTATAATTGGTGGTAATGATAGTGAGAGGCTGCTTACTTTGGGAATGAAAAGAAGTCTTTTTCTTGCAATAATAGTCTTAAATGGTTGTCCAAGTTCAGCATGTTTTAAATGGTTGTTTGAGTGTAAGAGTGGGATTAACAAAGTCATCCTTTTCAAAAATCCATGTATGTGCTGAAAAACATCCTTTTAATGCCTTTGTCTAATGTTGCTAAATGT